CCCCAAAACCCCAAAACCCCAAAACCCCAAAACCCCAAAACCCCACAAGAATGAGACCCGATTGAAATTATAGGTTAAAATCTAAGATCAAAGCTATCTTCTTGCTGAATCCTTCCATAGTTCCTATTCTCAAGATCTGGTCCTGGCTTAGGCTGATCTCTCTGCTTAAGGAAGAAGAAGGCAATGCCGCATACCATGAGAGTAAGAACTACTAGCATAAAGATTCTGTCTAAGGAAGGAGGATGGGATTTTGGAGTTTCATCTTCTAAAAGGAAATTAGCAACTTTTTGGGTATTTTAAGCAAGTTGAAACCTGAAATGCTTATTTACCTTCGTCTTGGTCTTGTGGGTCTGTTTCTTCGTCTTCATTTTCTTCTTTCTCTGCATCTATGGTATGAAATATTGAGCTTACCTTCATTTTCTTCGCTGTTATCATTTTCCTGTTCCTCATCTTGTTCCTCATCCTGCTTCTCATCCTGCTCTTCATCTTGTTTCTCATCCTGTTCTTCAGACTTCTCGTTAGTCTCGTTTCCTTGATGTTCTTCGTCCTGGCTGTTTTCTTCAGGTTGGTTGTCGGTGTCGTCATTGTTACTGTCTAGGGTATCTTCTCAGTCTTCATCTCCTTTCATGAAATGCTTGTCTTTATCACATGCTGTGTCTACAGATCCAGATCCTTCTTCAGATTCATTATGTTTTCTCATTTCTTTTTCTTTTTCCCTTTCTTCGTGTTTATATCTTTCCTCTTCATCTCTTTCATCTCTCTCGTGCTCTCTTCGATCTTTTCTGTGATTTTCTCTCTCTTCATCCATTCTGTGCTCTCTATTTTCCTCGATTCTTTCGATATTATGTTCGTATTCTTCCTTTTTGGATTGAAAGACGACAACTAAATTTTTTGGTCAATTAAGTTGACAGTGGCTGAAAGTTAAGGTGCAGATATTAGCAGTTGGAGAAACATTAAAAAGGATGAAATTAAAGCCTTACCTACAAATATCAATAAGAGAAGGCCTACAAGAGCGATAGTAACTTTCTTTGGCTTTTGATCCATTATATTATTACCATCTCTGTCAATAATTTTGCATAAAAAGGGGTTTTGGGGTTTTGGGGTTTTGGGGTTTTGGGG